GCAGAATGCCCACCCGGCCCCTCCCCTGTTGGGTTTAGTTGGCGCGGTCGCAGTCCGCGCCTTGGGGGGGGGGGGTACTGTCACGCCCTGGCTCTGGGGACTCTTATATGTTGAGCCAGGGTGTTAGTTTCTATGTTTAGTGTTCTATGTTCATGTTCTAGTTCATGTGTTTCTATGTTGGCCGGGGTGGTTCCCAATCATAGGCAGCTGTGGCTTGTTGTCTCTGATTGGGAACCATACTTAGGCAGCCTGTTTTGCACTTGTCACTTCACGTTATTGTTTTGTTATGTAAAGTACTCATTAAAAGATGTACGCATATCACGCTGCGTCTTGGTCCGTTACTTATAACGATCGTGACAATATCAGAGAATAAAATGAAAGACAACAGCTTTAAATAACTTTTGGTCAAGATTTCAATGATGATTGTAAAAATCTCTATGTTCTAAATGAGTTCACAGGTAATAGATTGCCTTTGATCTGTTGACGGCCGCGGAGTGTGGCTATATTGACAGGCTATTATCGATTAGATAAGGTAAGGTTCCATTGATTACTGTCAAGGGTATGGTCATATCGATTAGTCACAAGTGGATTACCTTATACTTTTCCTAAATAATATTACCTTTAAGGCACAATAATGTTTAGTCTACTGCCGAAACTAATCAGCTATTCGAACCAGTTCTTACCAGAGCCTTATACATTGCCTTTCGGAAAGGATTCAGACCTTGGCTTTTTCCACATTTTGTTACGTTATAGCCTTATTCTAAAATGGATTAAATTGTTTGTTTTTTTCTCATCAATCTACACACAATACCCCATAATGACAAAGCAAAAACAGGTTTTTAGAAATGTTAGCAAATTTATTAAAGATAAAAAACGGAAATATCACATTTATATAAGTATTCAGACCCTTTACTCAGTACTTTATTGAAGCACCTTTGGCAGTGATTACAGCCTTGAGTCTTCTTGGGTATGACGCTACAATCTTGGCACACCTGTATTTGGGGAGTTCCTCCCATTCTTCTCTTCAGATCCTCTCAAGCTCCTTCAGGTTGGATGGGGAGTGTAGCTGCACAGCTATTTTCAGGTCTGTCCAGAGATGTTAGATCGGGTTCAAATCCGGGCTCTGGCTGGGCCACTCAAGGACATTCAGAGACTTGTCCCGAAGCCACTCCTGCGTTGTCTTGACTGTGTGCTAAGGGTCGTTGTCCTGAGCGCTCTGGAGCAGATTTTCATCAAGGATCTCTCTGTACTTTGCTCTGTTCATATTTCCCTCTATCCTGACTAGTCTCCCAGTCCCTGCTGCTGACAAACATCCCCACAGCATGATGCTGCCACCACCATGCTTCATCGTAGGGATGGTGCCAGGTTTCGTCCAGACGTGACGTTTGGCATTCATGCCAAAGAGTTCAACCTTGGTTTCATCAGACCAGAGAATCTTATTTCTCATGGTCTGAGAGTTCTTTAGGTGCCTTTTGGCAACTCCAAGCGGGCTGTCATGTGCCTTTAACTGAGGATTGGCTTCCGTCTGGCCGCTCTACCATAAAGGCCTGATTGGTGGAGTGCTGCAGAGATGGTTGTCCTTCTGGAAGGTTCTCCCATCTCCACAGAGGAACTCTGGAGCTCTGTCAGAGTGACCATCGGGTTCTTGGTCACCTCCCTGACCAAGGCCCTTCTCCCCCGATTGCTCAGTTTGGCCGAGCGGCCAGCTCTAGGAAGAGTCTTGGTGGTTCGAAACTTCTTCCACTTAAGAATGATGGAGGCCACTGTGTTCTTGGGGACATTCAATGCTGCAGAAATGTTCTGGTACCCTTCCCCAGATCTGTGCCTCGACACAATCCTGTCTCTGAGCTCTATGGACAATTCCTTTGACCTCATGGCTTGGTTTTTGCTCTGACATGCACTGTCAACTGTGGGACCTTATATAGACAGGTGTGTGCCTTTCCAGATCATGTCCAATCAATTTAATTTAACACAGGTGGACTCCAATCAAGTTGTAGAAACATCTCAAGGATGATCAATGGAAACAGGATGCACCTGAGCTCAATTTCGAGTCTCATAGCAAAGGGTCTGAATACTTATGTAAATAATGTATTTCTCTTTTTTATTTTTAATAAATCGGCTTTCACTTTGTCATTATGGGGTATTGTGTGTAGATTGATGAGGGGGAAAAAATAATTTAAGCAATTTTAGAATAAGGCTGTACCCTAACAAAATGTTGAAAAAGTCAAGGGGTCTGAATACTTTCCGAATGCACTGTACATGCCTAGAAATCAATACTGTCTATGCTTATTAACCCCTATCCTTTATTCACGTATAATGAAAAGCTAACTACGGGTGAATTATATCAACATGTCAGAAAAGGTTTTACGTGAACATGTTGCTTGGTTAGGAGACTAGCCCAATCACAATCAATAGCATTTTAGAAAACCTAAATGGCTTTTAGAAAACAACAGTGTTGAGCCTATAAAAATATAGTCCTTAGTATGTTATTCATATTTTGTTAAAATCTAAATTTTATCAGGAAAACTATATCAGATTAAATTACCCAAAAAAATGTATCCATGAGAAAAATCTCATCCCCAAATCTTGACAAGGACTATATTGTCTAGAATTAAATTTCAATTGACTAAAATCTTTCATTTAAATAGCTATCGGACATACATAATTAGTCATATTTTACAATTACAGAACAATGCAAATGTAAATAAATCCTGCATATGCGTAATTTGACGCGTGGGCATGAACAGAAGAATTAGGCCTACAGACTAATCACATATTCCAATAATTTCCATTATAAAGGCCAGGCTAGACCCATAGTTAAAGTATAAGGGCCCACAATATATTACCTGGTGTATGGTCTAACAGCAGGCTACTCCAGTGCCTGGTTGAGCGAGGTTTCCGTTTGCGTAAAAAGGCATTCGCCTCTGTCAACATTCCTTCGTGGAAATAGAATAGTCTCACTTTGTATATACGCCATGTTATACAATATTGGCAAAGGGGTGCATAAAGATAACCCGTGCGTAAATATTGAATTGCTTAAAGCATGCATTGGTGTTGGTTAGAGCTATGCGCTAAAGTTATGTGCGCACATAAGATTCAGCCTTGAACTGAATAGTAATTATATGTATAATTATTGGCGTTCTCATTTATTAATTAAGGACTTATTAATTGGCTACTTGGAGTAGCCTCAAGTGACCTATACTGCTCTCTATCTACTGGACAGACAAAACCATTGCGCAAGTCCACGTGTATATTGTTTTAACAATGAAAAACGGATGGCTAAACGTGTACTATTACAAGTACTGCAAGGCTGTTATCTGCACCAATTTAGTCTTAATTGTTACAGTCAATATAGGCCTAATACCACTAAGAGAAAATTGCTTACCAACCACAGCCACAGAAATGACACCAGACTGTCTTACACCGCTTTGTAAAATTCGAGAGAGCGAGAGAGAGAGAGAAAGAGAGAGAGAGAGAGAGAGAGAGAGAGAGGGAGAGAGAGAGAGAGACAGAGAGAGAGAGAGAGAGAGAGAGAGAGAGAGAGAGAGAGAGAGAGAGAGAGAGAGAGAGAGAGAGAGAGACAGAGACAGAGACAGAGACAGAGACAGAGACAGAGAGAGAGAGAGAGAGAGAGAGAGAGAGACAGTGGAATGTGCAAAAATGCACAATTGTTTATTCTGTTTCCATTACTTTTCGTTGTTGCAATTTGAGTAATTTTCCCATAAACTGGCTTCCAGCATTAAATCAACATGTTGCATTGCATTTATAACCAAAGGGTCTGGTTAGCCCAGCTCATGCCGAAAGAGTTTTGTAACATTTTATGCCCAAAAGTTTAACAACCTCCCCACCCCTCTTAAGGCACACATGCTGCACTCACACAAACTAGTTAAAATTCGGATTTCAGCTGTTGGAGAAAGAGAGAGAAAGTCAAGAGCAGAACCTTGCACTTCCCAGGAATTAAAATATTTGTTTTGTGAGAACCAAAGTATTTGGTGTTACGCCTATACCCAAACACAGACGGTATTATGGGGCATGGTTGTTTTGAGTATCCACTAAAATGTTTGCTAATTATAAAGTGAGAGGGCTGAATACAAGCGTCAATAACTTCATGGTCCATACGCCAAGAAGGTGTGATGCTCACCGCTCAATACAAACGTTTGGTTATAGACACAATTATACGAATGCTGTGTATAACCTATAAATGCAGACTTTAAGCTAGCATCTTGCATACATCTGAATACGTAGTCCAAGACCGCACTGCAAAATATTTTTGTTGTTGTTGTAAAGATCATATTCAAAACATGGAATTGGGTCCATAGGGCATACATTTCAAACTTTGAATTGCGTAGGGTATCCATGCCTAGGCCTCATGGAAGGGGCCTGATTTGAATAAAGAGATGCAACTATCATAACCTATGTAAGGACTAAAAAATAAAATATAAAAGACCGACAATTCCTGAAAAGAGGAATGAATAGGCCTATGTCAGTGTTGTTTTTAGAAATATTCTTCAAGACTTTGAAAGTAGAAGAGATTGGATAACGGCAGGTTGTGGGTTGAAGCTGTTCAAACAAAGTGTCCTCTTTCAACACACGTTTCTAGTTTTGTGTTTGTGTCCGTGAACACCGCATTTTGTTCTCATCTACACGAGAAATGAAAAAGTGTAATCACATGAACGTCAACCTCCGTTATGATCTACATCATTTGGGTCAGCTTTTCTTGGTAATTGCCATTGCACTCTTCAGTCCTGTTTTTAAAAGAATGCCATAGACTGACAGCCGTAGTCAGGTTCATACTTTAATTCTATTCCATAGGCATATGACATAGTACTGTAAAATATTGTACTGTAAGAAATATGATCTTTGCACCAATAGACATAGATGAGTAGGCAGAACTGACCTAACACGCATAATAACAAAAAACTGTAGACCCTACCCACTGGGCACACACTGGTTGAATCAACGTTGTTTCCACGTCATTTCAATGAAATGACGTTGAACCAACGTGGAATAGACGTTGAATTGAGGTCTGTGCCCAGTGGGTATCTACACCACACTGCAGTCCATGCATGCAGTTAACACACACAATGGACAATGTCCCATTTCACCATGTTGCAAAAGTGCTGCACTTGTTTTGCAGTTATGATAGATTTCAATAGAGCTTTCATCATCTTTAGCCTATATTGGAAGGGGGGGAGGGGGTAATATATCACGGAATCACAGCACAGCAGTAGGCCTAGCCTATAGGCCTACAGCAAACCTCTGTAAAAGTCTAATACACATAGGCACTGGGGTTTTGGATCTATACGCGCCATACACCTTCCTAATATATCTTCAAACACGAAAATAACAAGACAAGCAAAACGGAATAAACATATAGGTTATAATAAAATAATATTTTACGTTTTTAAAGACTTTGTAGGCTACTTTGAAATATTGTCTGGTCACATTACATTTGGAGAAATTATATATACCCAGGTCTTGGCCTACAGTAAGAAAACAAGAAAACACAGGTCTCATATCGCGCTGCCTTTGCATCCGGTTTATTGGCTACCTTAGCCTACTTGATAGCCCAATGTTGCAACACGATACTATCGAAATCGGAATCATAACTCGGAGACATAACACAGATGTATTTTCAGGTTAGACATTCTGTCGCCTTTCCAAAATAATGAATCAACGAAAATCATGCTCCTCCTATGCTACTTTACGCACCAGTTGACATTATGGTCAACAATATAGTTTAAAATGTGAGTGTGGTTCTAAAGCATTTTGCAAAAAAAATCACAAGTGGTGTTTTCCATCATATGAACTATATCTTAATGGACAACTATGATATGCAAAAACAAACTCCACACAAAAATGAATTGCCATTTTTCAAATAAAAATATGAAATATTATAAATCAAACAAGTTCTCCTTTTAATGAATGCATTTCTTATTTTTTATTGTAAAGGGTATATGAAACTATAGTGGGATCAATTTGTTTATGTTTTATTATTAATCGCATAGTTATTAACATGCAGTCGATTTCCAAATGAAAATACAAATAATAAGATATTATAATCTTTAATCGTTCACATACGGCTCTCATGATAGTAAAACACTTAAGCGATGATACCCCAAAACAAAAGAAAACTGAATATGGCTCTCTTGGAAAACCTATGTGTAAACGAAAGGTAATTTGGTACCTGACTTGAAGTTTACGCATCTGTTGATATCTGTCCCCTAAAATAATAACGATAATAGTAACAAGAATTAAGACATTTTATTGTTATTGTTTTCAACAATATAACATGTTATTACATTCCGGTAAAATACCTTTCAGCTAAACGCCTACCATCTCACCTCACCGTGTGAGCCACATTTTCCTGACTCTGTCCTTTCGCCTTTGCACCTCGCCTCAAGTGTCTGAAGCTTTTCTCAAACATCCATGTACACTCAGAAAGTCCCTTTCCAATCAGGGTCTCGTGTTTAAGAGCCGAGGTCGACCAGGTTGGACGACATAGGGTTCAGTATAGTGTCGTGCAAAGAGTGATGATGGTGCACAGAGTCATGGCTGGACACTGGCATGGCGCTAGGCCCGGGCGGAGGCGCTAGGCCGTGCATCTGCAGCCCCGAGTTTGAAGCGAGGAGCATAGCCGGAGTCGACGAGGTGTTATCCGGAGTCCCTGAAGGCGTTTTGTCGTCGTCTGAGCTCCCCAAAAGTGTTTTATTTCCATTCATGGAAGAAGTCAATGGGTTGTGGCTGTTGGTGTTGGAGTTTTCATTGTTTTCCCTGTGGAAAGGAAAGATGATAATATGGTAAATAGTAATGTAGCCTACAAAGTCTATATTAGCCTATATTGTCAGGTAGCCTATACAAACATGCATTCGCTTGCAAACAACACATAGTCTTATCATAATTATCCCGAGCTATGTTTAGATGAACAATTTAGTACAGGTTTTAATATACAAGTTTCAGGCTTATTGACTAAAAGGAACTGGTAAATAAGCAGTGTGGGATATGTCGTCGCCGTCACTGGCCTATGCAGTATTTTTAATAAGAAGTTCTCATATAGCTAGGCTATGCAAGTTAAACAACAATGTGTGAAATTCATGAGTCAAGGCCTATTTGAAACTAGTATCAATGTAAGATTTTCATGCATTATCTAGTTTCATTGTGCAGATCTTGTTTGCCCGCATAATAAAAACTGGAGAATCTATGTTCAGGAAATATATACACGGTTATTTATACCTATGCATTTGGTGGAGTGTGCATGAAACTTCTTTTGGAATTCACACAGACGCAGACGACACACCCCTAAACAGAAATGCAATGTGTGTGAGATTTGTATTAATACCTTTACTGTTGTTATATAATTAGATTATTATTAGAAATCTGCAGTGGATTTTGCCGATCTAAACACATTTGATCAATCACGGCGTAGGCTACAATACCCTTAATGAGGACGAATAGACGAATTTCTCACTACTGTATTTCACCAAGTCAATGTTAGAAAGAAAATATGCTGAGCCATTTGAACTATATCTAAACTGGTCTAGGCTATTAGTTTGGGCCTATGGGTATGAAGGCATAATGGCAAACTTTAACTGTGTACAGAAAAGCTGGCAGGCGCAAATGACAGGCCTAATTATTGCTAAACGTGTATTAGGCATACATTTACAGTCTGAATCGCAATGACTCATGGTTTCAAAGTGGAAAGAAATGATTTACGCAGTGGGTTCAGTTTGAATTAGTCGCCAGCGGGAGAAAGAAGATACCCTCCGAGTGAACACCTGACTAAATGCATATTAATGCTCTTCTGTACAATATAATTTCGAAACTTTGAAATGTAGGCCTACAAACAGCTCATTAAGCAATAGCAAAACAACTACCACCCTCTAGCAGAATAAAAACGTCTTGACATTCAAGGAACTTGAAAACAAAATATATGACCTATAGCCAGGCCTATATTTACATACTTTCAGATGTGATAATGAAGCCAGAGTTAATATTTAGCATCCGTTGATTATGGGTAGTTTAAATGGCAAAATAATAGCATGATATTAGTTTGCTTTTGTTTGTCAAAGTTAGAATTATTATCAATGATAGCTTACAATAAATTATGATGTAATTTACCATACCCTGATTTGAAATGAGAGGTTAGCATTTATAAGTCAGTATTTCCTAACAAAAATCCAAGTTAAAGTCAGCGTCAAGACTTTTACGCACACATAAACCTTTAATTTAAAAAGCAATAAGACAAGGAGTAAACATTCACTTACTCGTACCTTTCCTTAGCTTCTGCGGCGCGGTCTCTTTGCCGTCTGTTTTTGAACCAGTTACTGACTTGTGTGGTTGTCAACCCGGTGCCTTCGGCGAGCTCCCTCTTCTCTCGCGGGGAAGGGTAGGGGTTATGCGTGTACCATTCTCTGAGTACGCTCCGGCTCTTCTCTTTGAAACAGTAACTTGTCTCCTCGCCGTCCCAGATTGACCGAGGCAGGGGGAACTTTCTGCGGACGCGGTACTTTCCCACAGCCCCGAGAGGGCGGCCTCGGAGCTTCTCCGCCTCGACGTAGTGCGCTTTGAGCCACAGCTGCTGCAGCTTCGGATGGTTGTGAGGGGAAAATTGGTGGCTCTCAAGGATCTTATAAAGCTCTCTGAAATTTCCTCTGTGGAATGCGACCACAGCTTTAGCTTTGAGAACACTTTCATTTTTGTGGAGATGCTCACACGCGGGTAAAGACCACAAAAAGCGCCCGAGCCGTTCAATGTTTCCACCCTGTTGGAGGACCTCGCAGACGCAAGCAACTTGCTCTTGCGTAAAGCCAAAAGTTGGAAGCATAGACATGGTTGCAAGTTAATAAACAGGTATGTTTTGCTCTACTTACACGTCCCCTTTGATGGCTAAGACATTAAAGCAAGTAACTGACACTGTAAGTCCACAAACGATCATGAAAGTCTCCAAAAGTAGTCTGTATCAAAAATGACGAAGATAAAATCCAATCGAAATGGAAAAACTAAAGTCGAAAGTCCCGTTTATGAATAGCAGTACAAAATGCACAGCATTCCCCTCAAGGTACACGGAGAGAAAGTGTTTACTCCTTCCACAGTCGTTCTCCACCTTTTCTACGTCGTTTCAACATAACCTACTCCTGAAGACCAGGCTCGCTCGCTTGTTTTAATAATATTATTCTAAGCTGGCAAGAAAAGCGATTATGTGAACTGTGATTGGTTGGTTATCTGACCCGGGGATGGTGAGGATAAGACAATAGTTTTAGTCAAATTATTTGCCATGGTTACGCTGTCATTCAAAGTAACCCGATATGGTTTGAGGTGGCTCCCTGGCCCCACTGACTGATTGTTCCCTTCTATTCAAGCCCGCCTACCAATAGAAATATTGCTCAGAATTTTTCCTGTAAATGGGTTTTTTTTCTCCCATGTTTGACAGACACTCGAGGCAGCCAAAGAGCGCGAGGCTGTGGAGCTGTGATCTCTCTTTTCTGGGGAGGATGGCGCCAGAGCGTGCGACAGATCATGCTGCCCTATGTTCATGTCCATAACCAGGAACCGTGCACAATCCACATGTGTATGCACAGTCTCCACTATTCCTGCTTATTAATTATGCTAATGATTATTGTATTGTAATAAGGAATTGTATGTAGGCCTAATGCACCTGGAACATCATGGTATAGAAATTATATTTAAACTATAGGCTAGGCGTGAATAAACATTGCTGGGGGAAAAATACAAATTGTTACACCACATATGTTGCATTATTTGCCATGTTTTGACACAGTGACAAAAATCTATAGATACAGTATATCCCCAAGTATGAATAACTTGGGGAAACTTGGGCCACTGTTGACATGTGTTCCAGGAACGGGAGACACAGTTGAATTAAATAGATTTCTGCTAAAAAAAAATATCATAGAAAAGTGCCCAGTTTTGAAGACAGTTCCCTCGCCTTCAAATCCTTGTTTAACTCCTGCTAGATCATGTGCGCATTGATTACCTCTGGTGTAATTAACTATGCATTGTAGATTATTTAATGCACATGCGGTTATGAAAAAATAACAAGGCAGGCAGGCAGGCAGGCATCCTGTGGGCACACATCACCAGAAACTGTACAATGTGGAATACTGTAGCATTGGAGCAAACGCACAAGGTGCCTGAATAACAAAACAAACCGTTGAGAGAGGTGTATTCTGCTATGAGAGCGCAGAGAGCTCGCGCTCTCTACGGCTTTCTGAGGGGAACGAAAGCTCCTGCTTGATGCTGCGGGTAAGACAAATTAACCTATTGTTTGGAGATGACAGGATATAAGACATATATAAGATGTTAATACTTAAACATATTAATGATGTCTTTTAAACTCCCAATAATAATAATTGTTCTGAGTGAGAGTGCTCTACCTGTCGTGAAGATGTGATTTTGTATTGACCGGTGGAGTGAAGAATTGACCAGTTCATAGATTTCTATTGATTCACAGGGGGACCTCTTCATTAAGTGCATTTACACTCACTAGTATCATATCACAGGAGGCCAGGTCTCTTTCCATCCACAGATCTTAAACGCATCTCTGGTATCTGCTTTCTGTAAATATAACGCAAAACCCTGTTTCAGCTTTCATCCAAAAAGCTTTCTGATCTAAGGTAATAACACCTCAGACCACAAGAAAGCTTAGCAAAATTACATTTTGTGTGAAATTATAGAATCGCTGACGCTTGTAGTATAAATGGAAAGGGTTGTAATATGGCAAGAGATGAAAAAGTGTTCTGCTCTGTGTTGTTTTGCCTTCAATGAAAATGGACCTCGGTTGCCTTCCCTCTTTCAGCCGAGCTCGAGCTGCTCCAACCTGTAGGGCAGTGATCACAGGGTAGCCTTGCGCAGCGCGGGTGCAGCCAGCCCTAGCGCCTACACAAGTTTCGAGCGAAAGTTTAGCCTACTCGTCTAGTCAACAAATAAGATGCGTAGGCCTATATTTGAGTAGAGAAATATTGTCAACGACGAATGTAGGACAATTTTTATCCGTTATCTCTCTTCGCATCAATTACTTTTAGATGTTAAGATTGAAAGTAGGCTTATTGTCGTAATTTGAATTTAGGTAGGCTAAGCACGCATGGCAAACTTAAGATACAAAATGATTTGGATATATTGGCTCAAAAAGCTATACTATTTATGGTAGCCTTTGTCTCTATTTCTCTTTAATATTGTAGCCTAGTTTAGTTTTACTCTTGTTTAATTCAGACCACTGTGCTCTAAATAAGACCCAGGAAACCAAGCCACTTAATTGCAAGAAAATCAGTCCTTAGTGAAAGGACAGTGGTCTGTCTCATATGCACCTGTAGGTTAAATTGCATGCATAATGTGTCTAATATATAGCATGAAATCATGCATTTTAACATGCCGATCGAGGGAAGAGGTGCTAAACAAATGAAAACGCACACTGACTAGTTTCCCTTTTATCATCAAGATGAATTATCTTGTAAGAAGACCCTTATCCGTTTTCATGTTGTGTTTTCACTCGCAAAAGGAACGTGTTTAATAAATTGACTTGGGTTTCGCCTGAAGCGCAGTTTGCAGAGTGGTATTTAGGCATTAGCTTGACTGATGCTAATCATCATGGGACAAGGCTGCTGAAATGGGTATTAATAAAAATATGCAATGCTTCGATTTAATCCTGTAAACGAGTAGCCTATATGAGAAATTCCTAATTTAACGATATTAAACTGAGCATTAATGAGTTATATATTCCTCGTCTTCATCCACTTAAAAATAAATTATCACAAAGAGGAATGTAATTATAATAATAATAGTAGGCTAATAGGCTATATGCCTGTAATAATTAAACAATTATTTGTGTCACTCATAAATTTAAGGCTACAAGATGAAAGGGAAAGGGAAACTATGTTTAATACATGTTTAATGACGATGTTTAAAAAATAATAATTGCATATAACTTCCAGTTGCCTATATCAAATGTATAATTTAAATCAATGACACGAAATAGTGCTTCAAGACGGATCTAAAGGAGTGGTTGAGAAAAACTTTTTCATGGTGCAAAAGTAACTAGCACACATCTTTAAAATGAGCACCCAAACATTGTTTGACAGACCAGCCACTTCGGGCGGCCTTTTAAATTCGCTTATCTTCTCTAACAATCTAGAAGAAACAGCAAAATGTCTCCGAATTGAACCATAACATGCACAAAGCTCCCAAATCGTTTATGATAACTTTTGCGATGACCGTGACAATGGTCGTCTGTTCCCCTTTTTTTTCATCACCATGTCTGATAATGACTGCTTGTGGATAGACCATTTGACTATTGAGAAACGTTATTTTATGATCGTGTCTAATAGGCCATACATATACTGTATAGGCATATAAAGGCCAATTTCTCTAGCCACCATATAAAATAATATTTCATGAAACCATTAGAAATTCTGTTCTGATATAGGCCTTTATACATTAGCCCATGTGAAAATAGTTTTAGGTCTAGCTATATGCTCCTAAAAATAGTCATTTCACGAAAATCACATCAATCAATACGCCATTCTGTTTGCGAGGGCCTTTAGGGATCATGAACTGAAAATGCTAAGAGCCAACTAGGCGTAGGCTACACATGGCTACAGTACAAGTACAGAAAAGGCCTATAGCCTATTGTTCCACCTCCTTGTCAACAGCAATGCAATGTCCTAAACAGGCCTAGTGCTCCTTGCGGCTAAAGATGCGCCTATTAATGTATTCCTTGCAGGCGGAAAGTGCGCGCTGCAGGGCGACGGCGCAGTCACAAGTGCCCATCAAAGCCTCTGCTGCAAGCGGGAGGAACCTGGCAGTGACAGGCCGAATCAAGGTACCCGTCTCGCCTTGACAGTGTTTGTAAACCTCTTGTTTCCACGGATCATTTTGATCAGAGCTTCGCTGGCCCAGCGTGGCTCGTCTGAGCGGTGATTATTACAATGCTGATGAATGGGGATCGCGTTTCTTCTAATAGCCGCCCCCTATTTTCACAACCTCCCACCGCTAACCCGAGAGCTCTCTGCCACGACCTCCACTAATTGGACTGATTATTGCAAGATGTTTTGGGGGAGCGCAGGGTGGCGGCGGGACGTGGCTTTTCCGTGGCCTACCCGGAGACAGGCCCGACGTGGGTTGATGAGTTACATTCTTTCAGACATGTCATGTTGGGCAGACAGAGAGAACGAATTAAACCCAGGCGTTTGGTGTCTCTGCTGTTTAAGGATCTATGAATGAGGGCCTATACAATAATTAAATGTTTATATCTACCTTGTTACCCAATAGGCCTACACATGAAGGAGTATTGGAAGGACTGATGAGATCTTGTCTTAATGTACAGACAAACCAGGAGGCAAGGTTGGTCAAATATGGTTCACGCAGTGGATGATAGGCTATCAATAACACAGACCTAGCTGATTTTTTGAGCTGTTTTGAAATTAGACCTACGCTACTCACGAATAAGACAGGTTATTCTATATTCTCATTAAGACACACATATTGAACTATTGACTATGAGAATAGCCTATAGGCTATGTAGCGTAAGATTTAGGCTACTCTGATTTAAAATAATTACGCATGGACATTCTCTTGGGCATTGTGTACAAATCTCAGATCACAGATGAGATCTGCGCCCAATGCAGGTGTGAGCGATCACTGGAGCAACAAGTGGCTTTCTTCAGCCTTTCCACGAGGGCTAGAGTGTGGGCCCTCGGCCGCTACTAAGACTAATTATTTCAATCAATCATTTTATTTGATTCCTGTTTATTTTCAGTGCTCGCTTAGTTACTTCACCCGTACACTGAGTCTATTATGCATTTTCCCCTCACATCCATAGCACGCACGATAATTTGAAGTGGAGTGCTACTCCAGCACCCCTGATACTTCACGCTTGGTAACCTTTATTGTCCCAGGAGACCCTGGCTGCGCGTGACATCTCATGGACCTGCCTCTTGTCAAGGAGCTAGGTGAAAGCGCAAGTAGCTGTGTGGATACAGCTACCTCATGTAAAGCGTGTGCAGTTTTGGAGACCAATTGAGGCCCATTAACTCTGGTCTTATAGGCCTTCATACACGGACAAAATACAGCCTATACCAGAGCCTCTGAAAGTGTGATATTATTATTTTTATTATAGGCCATCGTCTGCATAAATTACATTTAAAAAAACT